ACCACCCTCACCCCCATTCTACCACCCTCACCCCTACTCTACCACCCTCACTCCTACTCACCACCCCCACCCCACTCACCACCCTCACCCCTACTAACCACCCTCACCCCTACTCTACCACCCTCACCCCACTCACCACCCCCACTCCACTCACCACCCCCACTCCACTCACCATCCTCACCCCACTCACCACCCTCATCCCACTCACCACTCTCACCCCACTCACCACCCTCACCCCTACTCTACCACCCTCACCCCTACTCACCACCCTCAGCCCACTCACAACCCTCATATCTGCAGCACAGCTCAAACCTGAGCCACACGCTTGGGTGAGAGGGGCTGGTCATGAGCTGTCCGAGGCTGGTCACTCTCCCAGAGGCTGTGGCCGCATCTGGGGACTCCAGCCCCAGGACAAGGTGGAGGCAGCTCCAGCGGGCCGACTCCTCACTGAACCCCCGAGAAAATCCAGTGCCTGGGCGCTATAGCTCAGCCCCACTCACCACCCTCACCCCCATCTCTACCACCCCACCCCTACTCTACCACCCTCACTCCCACTCACCACCCCACCCCACTCAATGTTCCCACCCCCTACTTAACCACCTCACCCCTACTCTACCACCCCCACCCCACCACCACCCCACCTAATTCACCACCCCCACTCCACTCACCATCCTCACCCCACTCACCACACCTCCTCATCCCACTCACCACCTCTCACCCCACTCACCACCCTCACCCCTACTCTCTCTAAACCACCCTCACCCCACTCACCACCCTCACCCCTACTAACCACCTCACCCACCACCACCCTCACCACCACCACCCCACCCACTCACCACCCCACCCCACCCACCACCTCACCCTACCTACCTGTTCTCACCTCATTCACCACCCTCACCCCACTCACCACCCTCACCACCACTGCCCCCACCCTCACTACCACCTCACCAGCCCCACCACCTCCACTCACTCACCACCCCCACTCCACTCACCACCCCCACCCCACTCCACCACCTCCCACCCCACTCACCACCCTCACCCCTACTCTACCACCTCACCCCTACTCTACCACCTCACCCCACTCACCACTCCCCACTTCACTCACCACCCCCACTCCACTCACCACCCTCACTCCCACTCACCACCCCACCCCACTCACCACTCCCCACCTCACCTGTACCACCTCACCCTACCACCACCTTCACCCTACTACTACACCTCCTTCACCCACCTACCACCTCACTTCACTCCACCACCCCACTCCACTCACCACCCTACCTCACTGGCCCACCTCACCCCACTCACCACCCCACCTATTCACCACCCTCAGCCACCACAAACCCTCACCTCACTCTACCACCCCCACTCTCCACCACCCTCACCCAACTCACCACCCCCACCCCCACTCTACCACCGCATCGCACTCACCACCATCACTCCCACTCACCACCCCCACCCCACTCACCACCTCACCTCACCACCATCCCCACCCTTTACTCTACCACCACCTCCCCACTCTGCCACCCTCACCCCTACTCATCACCCTCACTCCACTCACCACCCTCACTCCACTCACCACCCTCACCCCTACTCACCACCCTCAGCCCACTCACAACCCTCACCCCTACTCTACCACCCCCACTCCACTCACCACCCCCACCCCTACTCTACCACCGTTACCGCACTCACCAGCCTTACCCCCACTCCACCAGCCTCACCCCCACTCACCAGCCTTACCCCACTCACCAGCCCTCCGGACACAGGGCCCCCAGCACCCCTTCCCCTGGGGAGCGGAAGGCCAAAGTGAGCGTCAGAGCCCAGTAGCTGCTGACCGGCGAGGGGAGGCGTGTCCCACGGGCCAGGCGAGGGCGAGATCCTGTCCCCGGAGGGGAGCCCCGACCTCCCTGATGAGCCTCCCGCAAGTTCAGTCCTGCATCCGCTGCCGCCCGGATTCTTGTGATGCTGATTTACGTACTTTACTCACATTTTCACACACAGTTCCGCCCGCCTCTCCTGTGGACGATGCATCCCGGTGAATCGAGGGGTCCCCACCCTCCCAGTCCCGCTGGGCCTGTTTGCTCTGCCCAGGCCTGAGCCATTGAGGGCAGGGGTGGGGGCTGCTTCCTGGGGTCCGCCCACACCTCGGCTTTACCAGCCGTGGATGGCCCCCAAGGACCCTGGGTGGGCCGTGGTGGCCGGTGGGTCTGTGTCCACCTCTGGTCCACCTCCGCTGCACACCCGGGACCTCAGGCCAGTCACCCACCATGCATGGGATGTGGTTTCTGACGGGAACAGAGACAGACAGGTCCCAGCACCACTGTCCCGCCCACCCCACACCCCGTCATCGGCACAGCCTCCAGAATCCCAGGATGGGGTGCCCATCACCCTGTCTCTCTTGGTGGCGGAGCTGAGGGAGCAATCGGGGAGAAGCAGGGACTCTAGCCCCCTGTGGAGCCCCACGGAGGTCCCGGGTACAGGGTGGGTTTCTGTCGGCCTCCGTTTCACCTGCTCCAAGCAGCATGACCTTGGGGGGCCTCAGCTGCACCCTCAAGGCCAGAGTCCCGGGGTCTGCTGAGGGGGCACCAGGCCCTGGAGTGCTGGAGGGTGAGGATGGACGCCTCCCCCCACCAGCCCCTCCTGGCTGGCCTCTGGGTGTGGCCACATTCCCTGGTCTCTGTTCTCTGGCACTCCCTGGCGTGTGGGTGGCCAGGGCACCTGTGGGCCGTGTTGGCGAAGGCGCCAGGGAGGGGCCGCCTTTGAGCTCTAGTGCATCTGGGGTTAAGAGGCTCCAGTCTGGCTTCTGAAGATGCTCCGGGCAGGCAGAGCCCATCAGCTGCTGCCGCGAGATAAGGCCTTGGGGTGGTTTGCAGAGCAGGCACCGAGGACCGAGAGAGTGTGTGTTCTCCCACCCGACTGTCACACCCCCACCCGCCCCACGCCCCTGGTCCTGCCCCCGGGAGGCCACCAGTCAAGGACACACAGCTGCCCTGGAGCCAGTACCTGGCGAGCCCTGCCCCCTGCACACGGTGTGTGACTGCTAACAGATGCCTGCCCTCTGTGCCTGGACCTCAAGCTGGGAGACACACTCCACATCGCAGGCTGTGGGCAGCGCTGGGCCCCTGTGGCTTCTGTCCTCCTGCCACCAGCCTCTTGTTCTAGGGCCGCCTGAGGCTTGCTCAGCAGAACCGTGGAGGAGACCCACACTCCCCCACAGGCTGGGGTGGAGTCGGGGTCCCTGAGATAAGGAGTCCTTCTCTTGGGGTGTTGGGGGGCCTGACGCCCAACAGGGCTGGGTTGTACCAAGGCACATGACTGGGCAAGAGAGTGGGAGGCCGAGGCCAGAGGACGGTTTGAGCCCAGGAATTTGAAACCTGCCTGGGCAACATAGGGAGACCCCATCTCTACAGAAAATTTCTAAAATTAAAAACTTTAGCCTGCCGTGGTGGTGCATGTCTGGGTCCCAGCTACTCGGGAGGCTGAGGCGGGAGAATAGTTTGAGCCCAGGAGGTCAAGGCTGCAGTAAGCTGAGGTCACGAAACTGCACTCCAGCCTGGGCGACAGAGGGAGACTCTGTCTCAAAAAAAAAAAAAAAAGGAAAAACTGTCGTCCCATGTGCAGTGTGACCAGGCAGGGGGACCCTATGCCCCAATCACACCCCACATGGGGTCCCCACAATCACCTTCTCGTGGCTTCCCAAGCTGCAGGGGGCCCCCGCACCTTGTCCTTCTCCCTACAACAGTGACTGCCAACTGGGGGTGACTCTGCCCCACAAGGGACATGTGGGGGTGTCTGCAGAGGATCTCAGTGGTCACAACGGGGGGTGGGGGAAGAGGCACTCCTGGTACCTGGTGGGTAGAAGCCAGGGATGTCGCTTGGCTGCCCACAGGGCCCAGGATGGCCCCCAGCGGGGGTGAGCAGCTGGAATCGCGGCAGCGCCCAGGTGGGGAGGCCGCCCCGGGGACACCCCCTTTCCTGCTGGAGGTTGTGAGGAAACAGAAGGGGGCCCATGCTCCCAAGAACTGCACGCTCCCTGTGCTCAGCAGGCCCGAGGGCAACCCCAGTGTGTTGGGGGGGATGCCAGGTCTGTGGGTGGCAGGCGGAGAGCCTGGCCAGGCTCTCATGTGCCCACTGCCAGTGCCAGCCTGGAAATGGACCTGGAGGGGCCGGGCTCCACCCAGCACTTAGACCAAAGAGCCCCGAAAATAGATGCAGAGAAAGTCAGCCGCCAGGCTCCCAGGCCCCAGAGGTCCTCCCGGGAGCGGGACGTGACCAGGAGCCACTTAGCTGATGGAGCGGGGCCTTCGGAGCTGTGCTGTGGTCTCCACCTCTCCACCCAGCAAGCAAACGGCCTGAGGCCTGAGGGTGCCGGAGGGAGCAAGGTCACTGCGCCTGGCCCCTTCCCCGCCCCCGCCCACCCCTGCTCCCCCGGCCTCCCCCGTTCACTCCCCTCACCACTCTCCCCAGCTCAGGGTCCTCAGCCCCCAGCACGCCCTCCCCGACCTCCAGCCCATGACCTATGGTCCAGGGGGCCCTCCCCGCCCCCACCTTTCTTTCCACAGGGGCGGCCTTGCCCTGGAGCCCCCACACCCTCCCCTCTCCCCTGCCTGGGTGATGGATCACCCTCACCCTGCACCCCCAGGCCCAGGACGGCTGAAGCCCTGCCCTCACCCCTGCCGAGGTGGGTCCCCCCAGGCTCCCACAGCTCCGTGTGGTCACCATCGGCCCCCACAGACGAGGAAATTGAAGCTGGAATACTGGGAAGGGCCCTGCCAGCAGGAGCCTCCGACTGCAGGAGCTGCCAGGAGGGAGGGGCGGGGACCAGATCCCAGGCCCAGCCGGCAATCCTGCACCGCCGCCCTCCGCTGAGGCCCTGTCTGACCCTGCGGATGGGGTCAGTGTCCAATCCCTGCCTCCCTGGACAGATGCTTCTGGAAGGTTCCTTCAGGGAGGACAGCTGCCCACTGTGCCTGGTGTCCCTGACTCTGAGTCAGGGCTGGGAGGGAGCCCCCTCCCCGAGTGCTGGGGACGTCTCTGTCACAGCGTCGGCTGGAGGCTGCGGACTTCCTGAGGCCTTGTCCTCACGAGCCTGAGCCAGGGAGACGGTTGGACGGGAGAGGGACAGAGAGGGAAGCAGGGAGGGACACCAGGGAGGGAGCCCCCGTGCCTCCGAGTGTGGCTTCTGGGTGCCTGGGCGGACCCCCACTCCCTACCGCAGGACAGGGAGGTGGTGCCACCCGGTCCCAGATGGACCACCGAGGCCGAGGTCTCGCAGGAAGCTCAGCCTCCAGTCCCTGCAGATCCGCCCGGCAGCCGCAGACATCCTGAGGACAACGCGTCCTGGGGTCCCAGCTGCACGAGGCTCAGGACAGAGCCGGGGGTGTCAGCGACAATATTTCCCTCGTTCGTACATTCCTTGGTAATAAAAACACAAGCGGAACACAGTCTGATGACTCCTTTTGAGAATCAGGTCAGATTGTTCCCAAGGCCAAGAGGAAGGGAGGAAGGGAGCCTGGGGCGGCTCAGATGACCCGGGAGGAGCAGCCCCAGACACGGCCGGACATGGCGGCCGCACAGGGAAGCAGGGGCTGGCTGAGGTCTTCAGGCTGGGAGAGGGGCCGGGCGCAAAGGCATGGAAGGGTGTCCCCGACACCCCGGGGGCTGGGGCTATAGGGTCAGGAGGGCGTCGGGCCAGGGCTGTAGGCCCGGCTGCACCACCCTCCAGGCACCCCACCGCCTGCGCCCCCCCCACAGCCTCCTCCACCTGCGCCCAGATCCCCAGAGCTGGCCAGGCCATGTGCCCGGCTCCACAGGCCCACGTGGGTCCATCGGGAAGGGACCAGGAGGGGTCAGATGGGCTCCTGTCCACCTATGGGGGTGCCCCCACCTCCTGGGGTCCCAGGGGAGGGCTGGGAAGGCGTGGCTGACTGAGGGGCCTGGAGTCTAAGCAGAGGAGGAGGAAAGATGAAGGCTCCACTCCCAACCCCGCCTGGCCTTGCTCCCATCCGTAAGGGTCAGCCGTCCCGGCTGCTGGGCCAGAGCCTCTCAAGTGGGCTCAGGTGTGAACGCAGCTCCCGTGCGTGGGTGCCCCTCCCGGCACGAGTCCTGGTGGGCCTCCGCCTCCCCCAGGCTGGATGGGGAAAAGGACCGAGAAAGCTTCCAGACACGGGCCGGGAGCAGAACCTCCAGGGAGGCACGGGAGGTCCAGCCAGGCCAAAAGGGCAGTGAGGAGGCAAGCAAGAGGGGCGCTCTCAGCCCTGGTCCCACAGTCCCCAGGCCCCTCTGCCCAGCCTGGCACCTCCGCCAGCCCTGCCTGCTGAGCATGGAGCAGCCTCCGCAGAAGGCGAGCTGTGCCCGGGTCCTGGAGGTGCGACCTCTGCTCCATCGTGGCCTGGGGCCCAGGAGGCCGGGAAGAAGAGCGAGTGGGCGCTGGCAGACGGTGGGCAGGGCCAGGGCCTGTGGACGGGCTACAGCACCAGCCCTGTGAGCAGCTGCCCAGCCTCTTGGCCTGTGGGCCCTGAGCAGGTGTGAAGACAGAGTTGAGGTAGGGACCCCCACCCGCCACAAACACCAGCAACAGTGATTCCAGCTGATTCTCTGAGACTGCTGGCCCCTCGAGGGGGTCTCTGCCCCTGACCAGGTGCCTGGCTGACGTCGGCCGTCTCAGGCCCTCGAGGGGGTCTTTGGGTGCTGCTGACCGGGTGCTGACACTGGCCCCTCTCGGGCCCTCGAGAGGTACAGCGAAGGTTCTGGGAATTGGGGCCCCCTTTCCTGGGCGAGAGAGATGCAGGCGTGGCCTCCCCAGTAGCCACTGGGGGAAGGTGAGGTCTCCCCATGGCCCCCGGGCCCAGCAAGGCCACAGTCAGGCCCCTCCCTCGAGGCCCCGGCTCGGCTCGTGTGGATGTTAGTGAGGGACAGCCCCATGTCCACAGCCCACACGATGAGCCCAAGATGACGCGGCCGATACGGCCAGCAGGAGCAGGCCCCTCCCACGGCGCGGACGCACTTTGTGTTATTATAAATCTTGGTTTCCTTCACAAGAGACGAAAGGGCACTCTGGGGCCCCAGCTTGGCAAGGGACAGGCGTCTCGGTCTAACAGACAGCACTTACTCCGGGTGGACAGGAAATTCTCTCCCAGCAGGGCCATGGCTGGGCTCTGAGTCCACCCGCAAGGGCCAGCCACGCCCTCCCAACCCCCACTCAGAATCCCGTCTCCCTCCTCCCATCTCTCTGGCATCTTCAGGCCCACCCAGGACCCATCTCTCCCTCATCCTCAGGCCCACCCAGCACCCCCTCCTGATGTATTCCACGGCTGCCCCAGCTCCCCGACGCCCTCCTGCTGCCCCCAGCTCCACCTTGAGCACCAAGCAGCCCTCCGAGGCACAGCTGAGCTCGCTCCTGACCAAGCAGAGGGTCCTCCAAGGCTCGAGGCGAGCGGCTGCGGTTCCCCCTGCCCCGCTGCGGCAGGCCTGGGGTCCTCCTCCAGGGCACGTCTTGATCACGGCCAGAGTCCCAGAAGTGCCACCGCTCAGCCCTGGCATGGGCGTGAGGTACGTCAGGGCTGGAGGAGCTGCCAGCACACTCTGGCCTGCAGAGGCCCGGCCACGTGAGGCCAGCAGACCCCGGACAGAGGCTCTGACACCACCCGCTTACCGGAGGGTTGACGGGAGTCGTAGGATGGCAGTGGCGGCTGTGGGCCCGTGGCCCATCTTGTCAGAAGCGGGGTGGGCTGCCTTGAGATAACAGCATTTGCATTTATTTCACATTTGCCATAAGCTACCAGCCGTCTGCTCTAAGGATTTCCCTGATAATCATCGCTCAGGGCAACAGCTTAGCTTCCTGGGGCTGTTCTGACCGCGTGCTGCAAACCTGGTGGCTAAAACAACAAACAGTCCTCCCAGGCACTGGCAGTGGAGTCTGACCTGGGCATTGGCAGGGTCTGGCTTCCTCCAGAGGCTCCAGGGAGGATCCTTCCGGCCTCCGCCAGTCCGGGGGCCCCCAGTTCCCAGGCTTGTGGCTGTTTCCTGTGCTGCGCCCGGAACAGCTCGTGTGTGGCGTGTCCGCCGGGGTTGTGGCCGGTGCGGGGCAAAGCGGTCATGGGAGACCAGGTTGGGAGGAGCAGGGGCCACAAGATACGATTTTCATGCTGTGGGAGCCGCACAGGTGGGGCTGGGGGCCCTCAGGGGCCTGACCCTGTTTGCCCAGTTAACAGACCTGAGGACGCAGGGGTCCCCCACCCACCACAGGCCCTGGCCAGAGAGGGACACAAATGGCCACGGTGCACTCTGGGAATGTGGCCTGTTTCTATGACGATGAGGCCCTCCTGATCTTGGTGGAGAAACGCTTGCCAGGCCTTGGGAGTGCAGCTGCAGGTGGGCCCCGACCAGGACCCCCACTGCCAAGCAAGGGTCGGGGCTTCCCACGGGGCCGCACCCCTCCCGCTGGTGTCCGGGGCTGCCTGGGGTTCTCGAGCTGGGGGCCTGCCGTGCAGTCCCGTCTCCCATGGGTGCCCTCGGCCCGACATCCCCTCAATGTGTCCTGCAGGCCAGGGGTCCTCTCAGGGGAAACCGGCTTCCCCGGCTCCCAGTCTCAGTTCTGACGTCACTTGCACCTCAGCCTCCCGGCTTGTGGGCTGGAATTCTCCATCTTGTTCTAAATGCTTCCCCCGAAACCCCCTCCCACACACAACGGGGAGGCCTGGGAAGCTGCACCCCTTTCCCCGGAGCCCCGAGCCTGGCCAGGGAGGGTGTCGAGTCAGTGGCAGAGTGGAGGTGAGGGTGCGTTTGAGGGGTGGCACCCCTCCACGCACCCGCAGTGCCCAAGTCCACCTCCAAGGGCTCTCGGGCCCCAGAGTGGACCCGAGTGCCCAGGGGGCCAGGCCCAAGCCGGGGAGGGTCTGTCTGCCCCTCCCCACCCCGGGGACCAAACGTGCCCCTCGGAGGGCCAGATTCACACATCCCCCGGCCCGGGCGGTGACTTCTCCGTGCCCTCGGGTTCTTAACAAAGCGCCCGGTGTCCTGCCTGAACTCTGGCCTGCTGCGTTGGTGATCGGTTGATATTTTTAAACTCTTTAATGGTGTGCGAGTGACATAATGGGGCTCACCATCCCATAATTGTCCCGGATCAATAGGAAGCATTCAGCTTCAGCCAGGCTGCTGCCAGGCCACCCCTTGGGGCCCCCCGCCTATCCCCAGCTCCGTCTGGATACCCTGGACGGCACCGGAGACTCAGAGGCCAGGGAAATCGTTTCTGGGAGGATGCAGTTACTGGAGTCAAGAGAGACCCAGGGAGGGGTTGGCTGGGCCTGGGTCCCCAAGGGGCCATGGCCACAGCCCTGGGCAGGATGCATGTCCTGGTCTAGCATCCAGGGCCACCCCCAGGTTCAGGCTGAGGCAAGTTCCCGTGCAGCCCCGGGGGTCCCGCCCAGAGGCCCTGGCGAGAAAGCACCCTGTGTGTGAGGGGCACAGGGACGCCGGGGCCCGGGTGACCAGCCAGCCCCTCGCTGAGCCCTCTCGGGTCCCCAGGCCTGTCTCCAGCTCTCCTGGTGATGTCAAAGGCCTGAGTCACGCACGAGAGGCAGCCTGGAGTGAGAGGGGACTCTGCGGCCTCTGCTTCAGCACAATATTGAGACAGTCGCTCCTGAGGGTGACACGTGAACACGCTCAGGCAGACAAGACGTTGTTGGGGCCCTGATTATCTTCCGGAGAGAGAGTCTGTGGGGCTGCTCTGGCTGGACGGACACGGAAGGAAGTCCTGATGCCGATTTACCCCATGCGCAGGATTGAGGCGAACATGTCCCAAAGCCCGGGGCCTCCGTGTGCTCCTCCCTGCCCGTCTAGAGACACAGGGTGTCTTGTGACCTGCCCACCGGCCAGCCGTTCCCCACAGTTCCAGGGTGGGCAGGGCCCAGTGTCTCAGCTCAAAAGGAAAAGTCCTAAATTCTCTGCCCCAAGTGGCAAAAGTCCTGGGTCCGGCTCTGGGGTACAGTGTGAGGGAGGGCAGGGGGCAGGGACCCCAGAGGCTGGGGGAGTTTCTGCAAGGGGTTCCCTGGGAGGACCCCCAGAGAGGCACCAGGGTGGGTGCTGGGCGGCTAGGGGAAGATCGCCTCCCTGATGTGGACATCGGGGAATGGAGGGAGAGTGTGTAGGGGGACGTCCCAGCTCTCTTGTTCGGGGTCTGAGATTGGGGAGGACTTGTCCCCACACTTGACTGGACCCTTCTGCTTGCCCTCTCCATACCTAGATAGGCGCAGTCTCTGGGAGCTCTCAGCCTCCTTCAGGAATCAACTCGTGATCCCCTCTCTCAAGGACCATCTATGGCTCCCCACTGCCCATAAGAAAAATATGCTGTCCCCTTAGCCAGCACCCAAGCCCTTCAATGACCTGCACCAGCTCTGTCCCTGCTGAGGCCTCAGTGCTGCTGTCACTCTGTCCCGCCAGATTAGTCTCCCTCCCCCCTAGGCCTGAAGCACATCAGCCCTGGTCCTACCTCCATACCCACCCAGAGCCCCTACCCAGCCTCCCTGGCACCCTCCACGCTCCTCAGCAGCATGGCCCTGTCCTCCCCCGAAGGCCCCTGGAGAGGCTGAGGTCCTGGGGTCTCCCCCATCAGTGGAGGGGGCCAGGCCAAGCAGGCTGGGAGGGGCCTGGGGATAGGGGGCTCAGCTCCCGCTGCCACAGGGCTGGGGGGCTGATCCTGTGGGAGCCCCATCCCTGGTTGCAGGATAACCAGATGGGATGGGGGCCCCAGGTTCCGGGCTGTGGGGCTGGCTCAGGGCCCTCCCTCTGCAGTCACCCCGCCCACCAGTTCTCAGCAGCCCCCGGCACCTGGGGCCGGCCTCCGGGTGCATTTTACACGTAGAATCTGACCCACACGTTGTTTGTTTGATGAGGGGAAAATCTCGGAATCCAGGAGGCCCGTGGGCCTTCGCCTCTAGCCTCCCGAGCGCCTCCAACTCTGGTCTCCCGTGTGTGGCTGAGGGTCTCGTCTGCCTGCAGGTCCAGCGGCTGCAACTGGGTGGCACCTCCTCCTGGGAGTGGCAGGGACTGGCATTTGTGGTCTTCGGAGACCCCTGGACCCTCTGCAGGACCTCGGCTTTGGGCTTCTGGAGTTCCCAGGTACCCGGATTCCTGGCTGCCCTGTGCCTCCGGGACCCCAGGAGGGAGAGACGGGCTGACCCAGGCCTGGCCCAGTGGGAAACCCAGCGGTGCTGGAGGGCGGGGGCAGGAGGTGCCCTGTGAGCTGTGCCGGGGCCCTGGGTACTGCACACCTGGGAAAGCCCCTCCCCTGCCCCAGGACAGACCCTTGTACAAAGCTGGGGGCACTTCCCTCCAGGGACCCCTCCCTGCCCGGCCCGGCCAGGGGAGTCTCCCCCGACTGCCTGTGCTGCCCCCAGGACCCCATCGTCCAAGGTGGGTCAGGCTGGACCGTGGGGCTGGGGGAGGCTGGGCAGTCCTTCCCATCAGCTCCTGGGCCAGCACTGAGTTCAAGTTTAAGTTGCCGGAGCAGGCACTGTAGGCCTGGGGGAGGGCTCGGCTCCGCACTGTGGGTGAACCCAGGGCCCAGAGCTGTGACGTTCAGGTTTAGCAGCGGGAGGTGAGGGCAGTGGCAGGAGGAGCCCTGGGTGCCTGGTGGACTGGACGACAGGAGCCACGGGGTCTCCGGGCACAGCTGTCCCCGCGTCGGCAGGTGGAGGGGCAGGGTGCAGAGGTCCCCATCCCTGGACCTAGAAACCAGGGCCAAGGGGTTACCGTGCACCGACCCCCTTCAAGCCCACCCCACCCTGTAATCCCCGCTGCCCCGCAGCACTTCCAGCCTCTCCCTGAAGCTCCCAGGCCAAGGGGAGAGAAGCGGGAGGCCGGGGCCGGTGTGGCCTGGGCTGGGCCCCCGTTGGGCTGGACGGGAGCACACGGCAGAGGGGTCTTGGTGCCAGCGCCCCTCCGCCCTGCTAGCTGCACTCGGGGGCGTGGGCAGCCCCAGCTGGTACCTGAGCAGGGGACCCCCCAGGTCCAGGATGCCCTGGTTTGCACAAGGATTCGAAAGCACAGGTAATGGCCCAGGTGGGCAACCAGAGCCCAGGCCACCTGGGGACCCGGGGGCTTCCCCTCAGGGCAGGCAGGTCAGGGCGTGGGCCACCGGGCCACAGCTGTTTAGTGCAGGTTGGGCCCCCCACCCCACCCCGTTGCCTGGGAAGACTGAGGCTCAGCGTTGCCTGCAGGGTGGGGGGGCTGGGGTCCCTCGAGGTGGTCCCATGGAAGGATGGGGCCACAGCCTGAAGCCCTCACCCACATAGAGGCCTCCTCTCCACCCAGGCCCTGACCCTTCCGGGGGGTCTGCAGGGCTGACGTGCAGGGAGCACCCCACTCCCAGCCTGAACTGGCAGGAGCTCTGGGTTCCGGAGAAGATGGACCACGGAAGGTGCTGGAAGACCCTGCCCTCCACCCAGCAGGGTCCTGAGTGGGCCCAGCTGGGCGCTCCAGCTCCCCAGCCAGGTGCGGGGCTCAGCCCTTGGGGAGTGGACCACCCTGGACCCCTGGCCACAGGATGGACATCCTGAGGCTCCCATGCCTGGCTGGATCCCCCACTGTCCTCACCGCAGGAAGCCCTGGGACAGCGTCGCAGGACAGTGGGGACCTTCCCGGTGGGGCCGTCTCTGACACCTGATATTCCTCTCTGGGAACCCATGGGGCCCCCATCCTCTGGCCTGCAGGGCCTCTGGGCTGTGGTCCCCCCGAACTGTCAGAGCACCGCCAGGCCACCCAGGATCACCACGGCACTTTTGGGGAAGGGGAAGCTGAGGCCTATGGAGACGAGGCTAGACCCTGGTGCCCCTGCAACCCTGCTCTGTAGAGGCCCATGGAGACCTGGCCTTGCCTGAAGAGACCCAGGAGGGGCTGCACCCGGCACGGCCTCTCCTCACTGTGGCCCAGGCAGAGGGGACAGGCAGCTCCTGCTGTCATTTTGGGTCTAGCAGGAAGGTCCCCCTCCGTCCCCTGAGCCTGGAGTTCCACCATCGAAGCTGCTTGGCCTCTCAGCTCTAAGCCACAGCAGCCGCCGAGAGAACTGTCAGCCCCTCCTGGGAGCAGGGCTGGGGGTGGGAGCCTGGAGCTCCAGGGCCACCCCACCCTCCAGGGCCGGCAGACCGCGCCTCCCTCTCCCCCCTGTCCAGCGTGAACACCCGCCGGGACTTAGCAAGCGGCAAGACATAAATATTGGAACCCGGGTTCCTCCGCCCTATGGAGATGGAGACGCCGAATGCACAAGGTGGTTGCCTGGCAACCCTGCTGCCGGCGCCCACGCAGGCCCAGCCCTGCCTCCACTCAGCACCTCCTGCTTGGGGCTCCATCTGGCCAGGCTGTGAGGGGACTGGGTGCAGACCCCCTCTCGAGACGGGCCAGGCCGACTCCCTGTCCCCTGGGGTGTGCTTTGGCCTGCAGGCCCAGATGGTAGAGTGGAAGGGAGCCCTGGTCGAATCCCCCTGGGCAGGTGGGGCGTCTGCCGACTCTCCTATCCACAGCGTCCTGTTGCCCCAGGGCGCCTGCCCCCAAAAGACAAAGAGAGAGCCAGGGAGTCCCCACCAAGAGCACCCTGGCCCCACTCCAGCCTCTGAGTGACCTCTGGAGTTCCGGCCTCCTTGCCATCCTCAGATGAAGGGCTGAGATGCAGACTGGGCCGGCCCGTGGCCAGGTGGCAGGTTGGCCTCATCAGGGGCAAGACCTGCTGATTTGAGAAGTGGAATTTTAGACCAGGGGTGATGCCGCCTGTCCCCATGTGATGTGTGATCCGGGGCTGACCTGGGCGGTGGGAGGCTCCCAGTGAGAGATCCGTGATGAAGCAGCAGAGGGTGAGGAGCCCTCAGGCTCTGGCTCCCCGGGGCTGGAACTGACTCCACGGTCACCTGGTGAGGGAGGTCCCGGTGCTGAGAGCCGGCTGCAATCATACGACTGGGCCAGAGCTGGAACTGAGGCCTCTGCCCCTCTCCCCACCACCTGCCATCCTGAGGGGGCTCTGGGGACTGAGGAGCCCTCTCCCCACCCAGGACTCACCCACCTGGAGTGAGTTTTGCTGTTTCATCTCTGCAGAGGACTCCGCAGCCCAAGAGCCCCACTTGCTCACCCTCCCAGCGGGGCTCAGGGCCCTCTTCTACCCCGCCCCCTCCCTCCCCTCCAGGGCCCCGGGCCCCTCCCCAGCCAGTCTGGATGGTGGAGACACCTGGGGACAGAGCAGGCAGAGAGCCCTGCAGGGGAGAGCTGGGGGTGTGAATCTGATGACGGACCCCAGGGACTGGTTCAGGGCTGGGAAGGAGGTGGCCAGGCACCAAGGGTGGGGCTGTTCTGAGCCAGGTTGGGGAGGCCCTGGGGAAGGCGCCAGAAGGTCCCAGAGAAGGGGAATGGGACTGCGCTGGGAGGGGATGGCGAGAGCAAAGGCCACACTGCACACTCTGAACACCTACTGAATGCGGGAATGGCTGGGCAGGGTGCAGGGAACACCCAGGAATGGCCCCATTCAGGTGGTGGGGGACCGGACAAGACAACAGAGGAGGTGTTGATAAGGACTTGGGAGACCACAGGAAGCTAGACGATGGGATGAGAGGGGCCCCAGGCGGCCCCCGTGTCCCCAGGACACCCCCATCCCCGCTGCTGTCCGTGGGAGCCGTCAGTGTCTCTGGGCTCTGGGTCCTGGGGGGCCCCTGCTGAGGTGCGTGCCTCTCCGTACCTGTCCTGGTCTCACCCATGGTGACCAGACCCCACATCCCAGCCTCGCCATAGCCTAGGCATCAGTTTCTTGCCAGTTCTTACTGTGAGGACTGGGGACAGGGGTCACAGCTCTGGAAACACCCTCCAAGCAGGCAGCTGCCTCCCTCCCTGGTCTCCCATAGAGCCCCTCCTGAGAGCCTGGGGTCCTCGGGCAGACCCCAGGCCAACCCCCAGAACCAGCCCTTTATGGGGTCCTCCAGGGCCTCTGGGTCTGAGCCTGTGTTTCTTCCCCCATAACACGGGCAATGGGGGCCATGCCCTGACTTCTGGGGTCATCCACGCAGCAGCAGCAGCAGAGATGCCCTGGCCTGGCTCACTGGGGGACAGGCACAGTGGACGTGGGAGGATGGGACAGTTACCCCACCCGGGGATCCTGCACAGACGCCTCCAGGCCCACATGGACGTGTGTTGGAAACAGAGGTGATATTTGCCTTTCAAGGTATCAGCCCTGGAAACCGAATGTCTTACTTTGGGATCAGGCTGCCCAGGTCTCACCACGCCAAGTCCACCTCCAGCCTGTTTGCCGGGTGGGGGTGAGGACTGAACCCCATGGTCCTGACACCTTGGTGTGCCTGCCCCGCGGAGGCCAGGTGGGGCTAGGAACACGTCTCTCGTTAGCAGGGTAGTGTCCGGGGCCTTCCCCAACCCTCCTGTCCCCACACGGTGACCCTCTGGGCACTGAGGGCCTTAGCTAGTGACCACTGGGGTGGGGTCTAAATATCCCAGCTCCCTCCTGAACAGACACAGCGGGGAGGCCTGTGCCCTCCGCCCAGGGCCCCCTGTGGCCCTTGCACCCAGCCTGGCCACCCTCCGCCTGGGCCTGCCCCTGCTGCTGGGCTTTCCTGGGAAGGCTGCACTGAGTCCGGGTCTCAGGATCTGCTTCCAGGAGGATCTGCTTCCAGAAACTGGCCGGATATACCCGGGGACACTCAGCCTTCCCACACTTCAGTCTCCCCTCCACCTGCTCGTCCCACCTCCACGCGGGCTGCACCCCTGCTGGTAAGTGCACGGCTACTGTTTGCAGCCCCCCACCCCAGGCTGTGGCTGGGTCCACAAGGCATGTAGCGTGCTTCACCCTCAGGGTGAACACTGGGGGCCTCATGCCTCGCTGCTGGGGCGTCTGTGCCAACCTGAAGACTGGAGACGGCGTGCAGGGCTCCCAGCTGGCGTGTGTCTCCTTGCTCGATTCTGCCTCTCCCACCGTGCCCCGGGGCCTCTGCAGTCGCTGTGTGCAGAGGGCAGATCCCAGCAGCCAGTCCAGGGCCCAGCACTCATGAGTGCACGTTACATGCTGCAGACTGGCAGCTTCACTCCCATGCGCCTGGGGTCCCTGTCTCATCCTGCCCCCGCCTTCCTCCAGGCTGCACGCCCTGCCCAGCTCTGCCTGCACCCCTGGGAAAGGTCCGGCCCCGACCCCCGCTCCCCACGAGCTCGCCTCGGCCTCAGGGGACAGCTTTGCCCTCTTCCTGTGGCACGGGACCGTGTTTCCTGGGGCTCAGAGGCACAGTTCATTTACAGGAACCAAATGGATGGAGGGCGCTCAGGGACCCCTGCCCCTGTCCTCCAGGCCCCCAGCCAGCCCGAGGTGCCTCAGGGCCTGCGGTGGCCACAGCCGTCCCTCCTGGCCTGTGCACTCTCCCAAGGGAGAGTCCCATGTGGAGGCCTTCACTTCGTGAGAGCTGGGGACAGGCTGGGGTCCTCAGAGACCCCCAGAGGCTGCCCAGGAGGCTGGGGAAGAAAGACCAAGGGCATGGTCTGGGGTCCATCTGGCGAGGGCCAGGGAAGGCTATGGCTGAGGGGCCAGAAGGTCCCTGAGGCAAGGACTGCCTCAGGCCCCTTCATCCCTCTCCTCTGAGGTCTGAGTGATGGGTGACCCCAGTCCCAGGTCACACTGCAATGACCTTTGACCCCCAATGTATCCATCACCCCAATAATGCTGCCCCTCACCCCAGGCCACCAGCACCCAGGAGGCTTTCCCGGGCCCACCTGTGGATGTGTGCCCCAGCCCCACACCGGGCCTGCCGTGCGGAAGACAGCAGATGGGGAGGGCAGAGGGAGACCGGTGCAGGTCAGCTCCTCCCCAAAGTGCCTGGCCCCTCTCTTACTGTCTGCACCTAAATCATCCCCCAAGCTGGCGAGGCTCCCCTGGGTAGGCCGGTGGGTGGGGGTGCAGTGGGGGTGGGGGTGGGCGGTGAGCTGCCCTCGTGCCCGCCCCTCACCCACTGCACCCAGTAATACCCCCTTCCTGGCATGGGGCTGCCCCTGGCTCCAGAGACTTCAGTATCGATCCCAAAACCGAGACCTCCATCCAGGCTGCCTGCCCAGCGCCTCGTGGGAACCTGGGCCCGGGTCCCTGGCATGTGCCCAGAGCCCAGCTCCAAGGAAGCTCTGAGGCCTGGGCAGCCTGGACGAATGTGCCCCTCAGGTCTTCCCCAGGCCTGGGTCTGCCTGAGCTGGGGGCTGCAGAGGAGCCTTTTTGGTGGTGAGGCACCCATGGGGCAGCCTGCCCGGCCTGCAGCCCCCAGACCAGGCTGCGGCACAGAGATCCCCAGACTCCCACCCACTCCCCCTGAGCCCGTCCCTGGTCTCTCCTGCCCATGCGCCAGTCCCTGGCATGCTTCCCCACGGGCAGGAGCAGCACCCACCTTCCAGTGCAGAAATCCGGGCGTCTCCGCGTGCTGGGTCCTCACCCTCCTTCCAGGCCTAGGGAGGGCGTCCTGCACAAGAGCCAGCACACGTCCCAGGTGAGGGTCCGAGTGCTCGGACCCCCCTGTGTGCACCTGGACAGGTGTCAGGGCCTCCCTTGGCCCTTGCTGGGGCCCAGGAGCAGGGCTGTGGATGCTGGTCAGGGCAGCTCCGTGCTCAGCCTATGGACTGGAAGCTCGGGCAACGTGTCGGGTTCCTGTGGCTCCTGTGCCGCCCCCGGGGGGTGTCGAACCACAGAAGCGTCCTCTCTCCCAGTGCTGGAGGCCAGAAGTCCAGCGTCGGGTGTGGGCAGGGCCGCATGCCCTCCGGCGGCCGCAGGGAAGGTCCCTTCCTGCCTCTTCCAGCTCCCGAGGGCTCCCGGCGTCCTGGGCTCTGACCTCTGCTCTGACTTCTGAGGATGCCAGTGTTGGAGCGAAGGCCCACGCGGACGATCCCACTTGGAGGTCCTTGACTAGGGCCGCGTCTGCGAAGATCCTTTTCCCAGGAATGTCTCCTCCACAGGCTCCGGCCGCAGGATGTGCTCACGCTCTGGGGGGTCCACCGCCCAACCCTGCGCAGGTGGCAGCTCAGAACTGCTTTGCAAGAGAAGGCACAGCCCACAGTGAGCACAGCCCACGGCCTGCCTGCTTCTGCTATGCCACCGCCAGGCTTCCCTCCCCACTGGGACAAACCCCCAGCACTGGGACCACCTCGTGTCCCCTCCTGCCCCTCTTGGGGCAGAACCGCTGGGTCTGGGGCCACCTGCTTAATTCCAGAGCAGCTCCCTCCTCTGATCAAACAGGGGTGCGAGATCAAACAATTCATTAGGAACCCGTCCTGGGGGAGCGTCTGCTGCCAGGAACTGGCGTTGACTCAGCCAGCGAGGAGCGGAGGCCAGGCTGGGGCCGGGAGTCGCTGAGGGGACTCGGTGGGGATTTGGTGGGGTGCGTTGGGGCTCCCACACAATTGGGCCGTGTGGGGGCCACTTGGTTTGCATGGGGGCTAGGATGGGGCACTTGGGGGCACGTGGGATGCCATGTCGGGGCTGCCTGTGGTCTGCCTGGGATCTGCGTGGGGTCCCCATAGGGTCTGAGGGCCCATGTGCTCAGCCATGCCTGCAGGACCACAGCACCCGCTGCCCTGTGTGCACAGGCCAGACAAGGTTAACGCCTTTTAGGACATTCTGGGACCCCTCCTGCTGGCCCAAGGCTGGGACGGATGCTGTGTCCACCACTGACTGGCTCTGCCCTCCCAGTGGGACCAACATCTGCCCAGGAAGGCCCCCAGGGAACCCCGCCTGGTGGGTCCAGGTAAGCTCCTGAACCCAAGGGCAACAGCCACCCCTCAGGCTTGGCTCAGAGCAGGCCCAGACAGGCTGGGCCAGCGGTGCTGCCAGGAGACGGACCAGGGTGGAGGCCTCGGAGGCCTGGACAGGGACTCGGGCTGGCCTCTGGGCGCTGGGGGAGCTGGCCGTTCTACTCTTGCTTACAAAACACAAGAAAGTCCGAGGCTTCGCACTGCCGGGTCCCCTCTGCGTCCACCTCCCCAGACCTGCGTCCACCCCCAGGTGAAGGGAGGGAGGGCCAGTCCAGTCCAGCAGAGAGGAGACCCCATCCTGCGTCTCCCAGGCCACAAGCCCCCACCTCTGCTGTCCCTGCAGCCCTGGATGGCCGCTATGCTGCCCGGACACCAAATCAGAGGCGTGGTCCCCTGGGAGGCTTGTGGCTTCCCCTAGCCCTGCAGGCCTGCTGAAACAAAACCGGGATGTCCAAATGCACCTTACCTGCTGGGTGTTCCCTGGGAGTGGAAACAGGAAGACCCCCAACCGCTGGGCCTCGCTGCTCCCTGGGCTTTGCCCAGCTTCCCTGTCTGTCCTCCGGCAGGAGGTAACCGAGGCAGCCGTGGACACGCCAGGTACCCAGGTCCCAGCCAGGCACACAGCTCCTCTGTTTCACAGCCATGGCCACCCTCTGCACAGGAACAATTACCAATGTCACAGGTGAGCAGACCAAGGCTCAGGTGCTAAGGACACCTGCCCAGGTCATGCAGCCAGGCAGGCCATCACGCTTCAGACCCAGATCTGCTCTGAGCCCCAGAGAGGCCACGGCCAGGTGTGCTTGGTCTACGTGGCGGTGGGCTTGCCGGAGCGTCCACGAGGCTCAGGCTCCCTCTGTCTCGAGGTTTCGTCTTCCCTGCCCTGTTTCTCCTCCAGCCCTGGTCACGCCCTGAGGGCCAGCCCAGGGTCCCCAGACACAGGAGGCCTCAGGAAGCGTTGGGTCCACCTGGAAGGCAGCCACGGGCCTGGCCTGCGTGTGGGTTCTGTTTCTGCAGTTCCTGAGGCCTGCAAGACATTTCGAGGCCTGCTCACCTCTTACTTCCTCCAGGCTGACACTCTGCAGAGCCGGCTCACCCCAGCCCTGGGGGCTCTGTGCCGGAAACCACTCCCCAGGGAGACCCAGAGCAAACACCACAGGGGCCCCATGGTCACGAGGGCCTCCTGCCAGGCAGCTGGGGTAGGGACGCGGGACACCAGGACTGCAGGGCCCCTGAGGGCTTCCTGACACCCACGGAACCCGCCACGACAGAGCCAGCCAGGCCACGCTGGGAGGGCTTGGTTGAGAGCATGCGGCATCCTGGGCCCAGGACGGGAGCTGCCTCCCCTCGGTGTATTTGTGGAAGCCCGGCTGGGCGGGGTCTTCACAGATCACGGAGGGCAGGGAGACCAGGCACCTGCCCCACCCCACCCCACCCCACTCTGCGTCTCTCTAGGAGTCTACTCAGGAACACCTTTGGGGAAGGTGGGTGGGGCGGTGGCTGCCATCTAGAAATTCTAGGAGCGCCCCCTCCGGCTCCTGCCAGGGTCCAGAGATGCACCGTTCCCAGGTGTGGGAGGGAGGATGAGAAGGGGCTGGTGGCTCATCTTCTCCTTGGGAGAGCACGGTGAGGGATGGTGTCTCTGATGAGCTGACTAAGGTCTGGACCCTCCGCAGAAGGAAGCCCCAGCCTCTCCCGCCGTCTCAGCTCCAAATTCAGGGACCACACCCTCCCAGTCCATCCGTGGACTCTGAGCCAAGAACTTCAGGTGAGCCAGCCCCGCTGCCACCTGAGCATAGAGACGGAGAATGAAGTCCTCCCCTCAAGCCCTCCCCTCTGAAGGGAGGCCGGGGGGCACCTGCCGTATGCCTGGTAGGCAGGGCCTGGGTGCCCCACACTAGCATCCCTCCTCCCAATTTCAGGGTGCGTCCCCGTCGTCTCCCTGGCTGCCATGCTCCATCAGCTCCTTCTGTTTAAATATTTAATCCAGTTAAATATTAAACCTCTTCCAAGTCCCAATTACAGTCGATCGATTCTCCACCGCAGCCGTTCGGGCCAAGCTGGCTCTGCCTCCCCGCACGACGTCAGGCCAGCCTGGGGGATTGGGGTGGGGGATGCCTGGAGGTAGGGGCTCCTGGTGTAGACCCATCGCAGCTCCGCCCCCCTGTCCTTTACCTGTGAGACCCCTGCCCAGCACGGCTGCCCCACACACAGACAGCTGGGCAGGGCAGGTGAGCCATGGCTCCCAGCCCTAGGTCCCCTCCAGCTCCCAAGGACTCCATTGGCTGGAAGCACGAGAGAACCATTCTCCGCAGCTCACACCACGGTCTGTCCTGCCCCCCGCGGGGCCTGGGATCACCTGAATTATTCGCAGGGTTCCTGTTTTCCTAGTCAGGGCCGGAAGTGGATGAAACCTTCCCTGGGGTGAGGCTTGGCCACAGAGGGGGGACCCTGAGAGCCAAGACCTACTTCTGTTCAAAATTGTTTTTTTCTTTTCTTTCTTTTTTTCTTTTTTCTTTTCTTTTTTTTTTTTTGAGCCAGGGTCTCACTGTGTCATCCAGGCTGGAGTGCAGTGGCCCAATCACAGCTCACTGCAGCCTCCACCTCCTGGGTTCAATTAGTCCTCCCACCTCAACCACCCAAGGAGCTGGGCCCACAGGTGCAGGCACCATGCCTGGCTAATATTATTATTATTGTTATTGAGATGGAATCTTGCTTTGTTGGCCAGGCTGGTCTCGAACTCCTGGCTTCGAGCAATCCTCCCGCCTCCACCTCCCACAGTGCTGGGGTGACAGGTGCGAGCCCCTGCACCCGACCTCTAAGGGCTTTTAAATATACTGAAAAGTACAGAAAACAACAGCACTAACCGTGCACCCCCTCCGAGGTCTAGGCCCCCATGGTAGGGCTTCAGGGGTGTTTAAATTCACAGGAGGGGAAGCCCCGACTTCACCTGCCTTTCGCCAGCTGCCCTTCTCACCCTTCCCATGAGTGAGCCCCCGACGGGTGCATAAATGTGTGCATTTGCAGACATGCAGCAGCTTATTATAAGTTTTACTGAGGTAAGTCACGTGTGGCACATGATTTACAAACAGTAATAAAATATGGGATGGGGCTCTGCCGTAAATCCCACGTGGCTGATGGATTCTGACGGGCGCCTGGGCTGGCTTCGGCCCGTCTCTTATGTTGCAGCCAGCCTGAGACTCCACAGAGCAAGGCTGCTCCCCACCTGCCGATTCTTGCCCCGATAAGTGTGTTATCCGTAAACCTGATCTGTGATCCACTGTTCAACTCTTTCTCACCCTGGTACAAATGATATTCCTGAAATGGAAGCTTCTTTCAGCTTCAACACTAATTGTAAATGTACATGATTTAATTTTTAGTTGTGGCTGCGTTTAACAAGCAGCTCACTCATTTCTTAGGTATTTAACCACTGGCTCTTATGAGCTGGTACGTGTCGGCCCCACACGTGGCTGAGTCGCCTGTGCAGACACCTGCTGGCCTGGCTCTCCCACGTCCCTGCACCGGACCCTTCTGCTGGGGGTGTGGGGACGCCTGCCCAACGTTAGTTCTGCCTCCTCCTCTCGTCTTCCCCTGGTGTTTTCATGACTTTGGCTTGGCGGTCAGCCTTGAAATCTCCCCTTATTATTCTTTCTTTTCTTTTTTTTTTTTTTTTTTTGAGACGGAGTCTCGCTCTGTCGCCCAGGCTGGAGTGCAGTGGCTGGATCTCGGCTCACTGCAAGCTCCGCCTCCCGGGTTTACGCCATTCTCCTGCCTCAGCCTCCCGAGTAGCTGGGACTACAGGCGCCCGTCACCTCGCCCGACTAGTTTTTTGCATTTTTTAGTAGAGACGGGGTTTCACTGTGTTAGCCAGGATGGTCTCAATCTCCTGACTTCGTGATCCGCCCGTCTCGGCCTCCCAAAGTGCTGGGATTACAGGCTTGAGCCACCGTGCCCGGCCTATTATTCTTTCTTAAAAATGAAATTGGTGGCCAGGCACAGTGGCTCACACCTATAACCCAGCACTTTGGAAGGCTGAGGTGGGTGGACCACCTGTGGTCAGGAGTTCGGGACCAGCCTGACCAATAAGGTGAAACCCCGTCTCTACTAAAAATACAAAAATTAGGCAGGTGTGGTGACGGGCACCTGTAATCCCAGCAACTTGGGAGGCTGAGGCAGGAGAATCGATTAACCCGGGAGGTAGAGGTTGCAATGAGCCGAGATCATGTCACTGCTCTCCAGCCTGAGCGACAGAGTCAGACTCCGTCTCGAGAGAAAAGAGGGAAACACAGCTGCAGGGAAGGCTGTGGCCGGGCAGAGGAAGAGACTGGAGCCACATGGCCAACCGCCGGGGAAGGCCAAGGGTGGTTAGCAGCGCCAGAAGCTGGGGGAGGTGGGAAGGGTCGTCCCCGCAGTCCTTGGAATGACCAGGGCCCTGCCAACACCTTGAGCTTGGGCTTCCGGCCTCCAGAGTCATGAGCCAGCACCTTCCTGGTGGCTGGGACCACCCGGGGTGTGATTCTTACTGTGAGCAGCCCTGGGGCCCCAACACGGGGTGCTCCGGGAGGCCCCCCTGGTGCTCGCTGAGACCCACTGCTGCTTTTAGGTTTGTTTTCAGAAGCAGGGTCTGGCTCTGTTGCCCAGGCTGGAGGGCAGGGATCATGGCTCACTGTAGCCTTGACGTCTCAGGCTCATGCGATCCTCCCACCTCGGCCTCCCGAGTTGCTGGGACTACAGGCGCCACGAGGCCTGGCTAATTGTTTAATTTGTTATAGAGACAGGGTCTGATTGTGTTGTCCAGGCTGATCTCAAACTCCTGAGCTCAAGTGATCCTCCCACCTCGGCCTCCCGCAGGGCTGGGATTACAAGCGTGAGCCACTGCACCAGCCAATAAACTGTGCACATTGAAAGCGTGATGTATGGACTGGGTGTGGTGGCTCACGCCTATAATCCCAGCACTTTGGGAGGCCGAGGTGGGTGGATCACCCGAGGTCAAGAGTTCAAGGCAAGCCTAATCAACATGGTGAAACCCCTTCTCTACTAAAAATACAAAATATTAGCCGGGCGTGGTAGCAGTCGCCTACAATCCCAGCTACTCGGGAGGCTGAGGCAGGAGAATTGCTTGAACCTGGGAGGTGGAGGTTGCAGTGAGCCAAGATGGTGCCATTGCACTCCAGCCTGGGCGATAAAAGCAAAACTCCTTCTCAAAATAAAGTAAAATAAAATAGTGTGATGCATGTACGTGCCTGTGAAACCGCCACTCCCACCAAGAGAGAAAACATCCATTGCACCAAAAACTGGCGTCCCTCGCTCCTGCCCCACCCCCAGGAGGCACCCCCCACCCCGCTCTCCATCACTGTGGGTGAATCCGAGGCCCCAGGATGACGTGTAAGCGGGATCAGCCACATGTGCTGTTTTCCTCAGGCTTCTCCCACCCAGCACGATGGCCTTGACATTCACCACGCTTCCGCGTCCGCAGCTCACTCGTCCCTGGTACGGCTGAGTCATGTCTCGTGCTCTGAACGTCCGCGGTGTTTAGCTGTTCTCTTGTCGGTGAACACGTGGGCCGTTTCCAGCTCAGGGCTACTATAAGTCAAGCTGCCATGAGCACTGACGTAGGGAACACCGTGTGACACATACTTCCATTTCTCCAGGGTCAACACGTAGAGGCAGAGAGACGGGATCGTGCACCCCGTACACCTTTTTTTTTTTTTTTAGACAGAGTCTCGCTCTGTTGCCCAGACTGGAGTGCAATGGCGCGATCTCGGCTCACTGCAAGCTCCGCCTCCTGGGTTCAAGCAATTTACCTGCCTCAGCCTCTGGGATTACAGGCACGCGTCACCACACCTGGTTTATTTTTGTATTTTTAACAGATACGAGGTTTCTGTTTTTGGTTTGGTTTTTTTTTTTTTTGAGGTGGAGTCTTGCTCATCGCCCAGGCTGGAGTGCAGTGGTGCGATCTTGGCTCACTGCAAGCTCCGCCTCCCAGGTTCATGCCATTCTCCTGCCTCAGCCTCCCGAGAAGCTGGGACTACAGGCGCCCGCCACCGCGCCCGGCTAGTTTTTTGTATTTTTAGCAGAGACGGGGTTTCACTGTGTTAGCCAAGATGGTCTTGATCTCCTGACCTCGTGATCCGCCCGCCTTGGACTCCCAAAGTGCTGGGATTACTGGCTTGAGCCACCGCGCCTGGCCCAGATACGGGGTTTCACCGTGTGTTGGCCAGGCTGGTCTCGAACTCCTGACCTCAGGTGATCCACTCACCTCGGCCTCCCAAAGGGCTGGGATGACAGGCGTGAGCCACCGCGTCTGGCCAGTGGGTGCATATTTAACACTTTAAGGAATCCCAGCACTTTGGGAGGCCGAGGCAGGTGGATCACGAGGTGAGGAGCTCGAGAATAACCTGACCAACATGGTGAAAACCCATCTCTACTAAAAATACAAAAATTAGCCAGATGTGGTGGCGGGCACCTGTAGTCCCAGCTACTCGGGAGGCTGAGGCAGGAGAATCACTTGAACCTGGGAGGCGGAGCTTGCAGTGAGCTGAGATCGCGCCACTGTACTCCAGCCTGGGCAACAGAGCAAGACTCCGTCTCAAAAAACAAACAAACAAAACAAAACATCACTTTAAGGAACTGCCGAACTGCTTTCCAAAGTGGTCGCACCATTTCACATTCCCAGCAGCCGTGCCGAGAGCTCCGCTTCCCACGTCCTTACCAACACGTGGTGCCACCATCCCACCTCTGAGCCCCTCAGACAGGCGGGAAGGGGCGCTGAGCGGTGGTTTCTCTGTGTTCTCCCCTCATGACCTCTGACGTGCAGTTTCCCTCCTGTGCTCATTTACCATCTGTAAAATCTTGGGTGGCATGTCTATTTCAGTCTTCTGACCATTTTCAAAGTGTGTTGTTGTCTTTTTAATATTAATTTTAAAGGGCCAGGTGCAGTGGCTCACACCTGTTAACCCAGCGCTATGGGAGGCAGAAGCAAGAGGATCACTTGAGCCCAGGAGTCGGAGAGCAGTCTGAGCCACATACATAGGCCCCATCTCTACAAAAAAAATTAAAAATTAGCCAGGCACGGTGGCACCTGTAGTTCCAGCTACTCAGGAGGCTGGGGTGGGAGGATCACTTGAGTCCAGGAGGTGGAGGCTGCTGGGAGCAAAGGTTGCACCACCGCACTCCAGCCTGGGCAACAGAGCGAGACCTAGTCTCAAATACGTTTTTTGTTTTTGTTTTTTTTAAAATTTCAGCCGTTTTTGATACATTCCGAGTACAAGCCCTTTGCCATGGATCTGTGCTGTGAGTATTAACTCCCAATCTGTGGCTTGCATTTTGCTTTTTTTTTTTTTTTTTGAGAGGAGTCTCGCTCTGTCGCCCAGGCTGGAGTGCAGCGGCATGATCTCGGCTCACTGCAAGCTCCACCTCCCGGGTTCAAGCGATTCTCCTGCCTCAGCCTCCCGAGTAGCTGGGATTACAGGCGCGTGCCACCACACCTGGCTAATTTTTGTA